CAGGAACTTCTTGGGGGAAAAAAAAAAAAACTAAAACGACAAAACCAAACAAGCAAGAAGTCAACTTTAGAGAAAGATTTTTAAAAAAGTAAAACAGAAGACAAAAGGAAAAAAAAAAATCCAGGCGGCAAGGATTAACCTGCTTTCATCCAGACTTCCCCCAAATAGTAGCCTTCAAAAGTCAAACACAGAGCACTATTTCATGTTCTCCCCTGTAACCTTTAGAGTTCAAAATGCTCATCTGTTCATCCACGTCCCCTCGCAGTGGCGTTTGCAAATGACACAAACATTTGCCTGCGATCTGTGCTCTCCCTAATGCAGCCCCAGCCTGTGCCTGCCCTGGAACAATTTTCTCTGGAGCAAGTTCAAGCACAATTTGCTCATGCTGGTATCTATCTGTCATCAGATGTGTCAGCCTAATCGCCCTCGGCTCAGGTGGGGAGGAAGGAGACAAAAGGTCACCTTCTACATTCGGTCTGTTCTCCAGGAGGCAGGAGAGAGCAGGAGGAAAACCAAATTTTCACCTACCTGACAGGAATGGAATGCTTTCTTCCCTTTGCCTTTGCATTTCAGTGCAGCTCAGTGCCTCTGGTAGCAGCTGGATGTGCTTGGGACAGGTGGAAATGAACCAGATCCATGGGAATGCCGGGACAGTGGGTGCTGCCAAATGGTAGCCCTGAAAGATGTGATGCCTTTCCTTAGAGGAAGGATCTCTCACCAGCCTTTGGGGGCTGACTCCCCCAGGCTGTGCTGGACACTCAGACCAGGTCTGGTTCATGGAATGGTTTGGGTCGGAAGGGGTCTTGAAGATCATCCAGTCCCACCCCCTGCCATGGGCAGGGACACCTTCCACCAGCCCAGGTTGCTCCCAGCCCCATCCAACCTGGCCTTGGACACTTCCAGGGATGGGGCAGCCACAGCTTCTCTGGGCAACCTGTGCCAGGGCCTCCCCACCCTCACAGGGAAGAATTTCTTCCCAATATTCAACCCAACCCTACTCTCTGTCAGCTTGAAGCCATTCCCACTTGTCTGTCACTCCATGCCACTCACAGAAGTCCCTCGCCAGCTCTCTTGGAGTTCCTTCAGGTACCAAAGGTCACCCCAGAGCCTTCTCTTCTCCAGGCTGAACAATCCAAATTCTCTCAGCCTTTCCTCACAGGAGAGCTGTTCCCTGTGACCCTGGCACACCACAGGCTGGTATGGCTTCCATGGAATGTGCCAACAGGAGACACTCACTGGGATGAGGAGGGACATCAGAGCCCAAGCTTTAACCTGCATTAGGCACTTAGCTCAGGTAGGGGCACCTCCAGCACCTCAACAATCAGGAACCCAAGCATTCCAAAACAGCAACTCAGAGCACATCAACTGGTGGCTTAAGCAGATCCTACTGGTCCCAGTAGGCAATGGAATGTCTGGATGTTGCTGAATCCAGGAGGACGCTGGTCCTGCTGGTTGCTGGAGAGCACCAGCCTGACTCAGGGGTCCCTGTCAGGCTGACACAAAGCAGGGCAGGAGAAAGCCATGGTGCAAGGCATCTCCTGGAAGGTGAAGCTCAAGTTACCCAGATCCACTTGCTGGGGAGAAGTTTGGACTGGAAAGCACAGCAGAGGGAAACAGATTGTGTGGTGTGGTGTGTGCACTGCCCACACAAGAGACAACATCTGTCCCATCCAACACTCCCAAGATTGGCTTGGAATGGAGAGGCAGAAAAGTGGCTGGAGCAGGGAGAGAAGCAAGAGCATCCATCTTCATTGAAAAAGAATCTTATTCTTACAGCAGACAGAGCCACAAGGATATTTTTTTATCCTTGAGGTTTATTTTCCCAGCGTTTCTTTATCTGACACCGGTCAAGAGGGATCCTGGGAAAAAAAAATACAAATGATACTTTTAGTGTTTTATAAATGGAGATGTATGATCTCAGTGACTCAGGGAGACCAGAAGACTATGGGATGGCAAGGAATAGAGAAGAGCTTGGAGATTTATTTCCCATTTGAGTGCAGCAGATGGGGAGGAAGGGGCACACACAAAGCCAAATGATTTGATGGGGAACCAGAGCCAAAATGTAGAAAGGGCAAAAATCAAATCAAAACAGGCTGAAAGTTTTCCAGTGAAATGTTTTTCTCCCCCCAAGAAAAGTGGTATTTTCTATAAAAGCATATGTTCAGGGACACCCCCAGATTTAATGAAACTGTTATTATATTTTAGTTTGCACTGAGTAACCAATCCCAAAACACCCAAACCACCAGAAAAAGAAGTTTGGTTGCAGTAGACTTATTTCCATTGAAAACAGGGGTGGAAGAAAAGGCTTATGTGTAATTCTGAAAACAAAGGCTTATGTGCAATTCTCCCACCAATAAAATCTAATTTCCCAGCCATTTTTAAGGCTGAAATCAAAAAGAAGAGTTAAGGAAAAACATTTTCAAGGAAAGCAAGCTAGATGCTACAATACAAATGTAGAAGGTTTTACCAACCTGGCTGCTGTTGTTACCTGTCAATCTCCCAGAGCTGCCATGTGAAGGATAACCATGTCCAGGAGCCTGCTGCTTACAGCAGGGATAGGCTTATACACCCCAATAAAATGCTTTTTTTCCCCCCTTGACCATCTCTCTTCATCTAGTAATAGGTTTTATCTCTCTCTACAAACCTTGTGCTAATGTAACACTTCACCCTCACTGGCAACACACATCCAGAATAACCAGGGGAGAGAGGACTGGGACGTTCAGAGCCCGTGCACCAGGGTGCCAGGAATGCATCTCATCTGGGTCAGAAAAAGGGACCCATTGTTGCATCCCTCTCCCCTTTGAGGTTTAATCTGCTGTGCCTCAGACCAAGTATCCCATCCTCCCTCACGGCCTCCCTCACTTCTTGCATCACTGGTGCTTCCTCTTGCCCTGTTTGATGTTTTCAGAGACACTAAAATAGGAAAATACAGACAAACACCTACACAGTACAAACTTAGCAACATGAATTGGAGAAGAGAGGGGTTTTTTCACATGTTGGCTGTTCCAGCACAGGCAACAATTGGTGCAAACAGAACATTCTGCAGGATGTGTCATGTGCGGAGACCCAGCACAGATTTCAGCAGCAGCAGTGGCTGTGAGGAAGCTGGTTTGTAACAACCAGCACAGAGTAATGAAGCAATGAAAACACTAAACTATATTACTCTGCAGCCAAACTAAATGTCTTTTGGTCCTTCATGCATGAGCCTTCTAAGTGTAAACTTTTCACAGTGAGAGAAAGGAAATCACCCTTAGACTTCAGCAAGAATGATTCAGATAGCCCCAGGCAGCAAAGATCTGAGCTGATAAAGAACAACAGTTTTTGACTGCCTTTGGGAAAGTATTTGCTGATCTTTGTTCATGTGCAACATTGTTTTAAGCTACAAAAGACACAGAGGTTAATGGCAGGTCGCTGGGAAGATGTTATTGTGTGGCTTCTTTTCATCATGCTTCCTCCCCCTTTCCAGAGGTATAGGGCCAAATGGGAGATGGACTGGCAGTGGAAGCCTCATCCCCACTCCCTAAGCAGAGGTCAGCCCACCCCTGGGTCTGAGCTCTGGCAGTAGAACCTCCATTATTCTGAGAATGAAACACGGTGTTGCCATTGTAAAGGCTGTTCCAGTGCAGTTTTCAAAAGCAGATGTGCACAGGAATTAAAGCCAAACATCAGTCAGCTCCATGTGACTAACTCAGGAACCCAGCACATGTTGGAAATAAGGTAAAGAAAGAGCAGGGGAACAAATACCTTGAGATTCCATTATCCAAGTATCTCAGCACTTCCCATCTCTGAAATAAACCCTTCTGATGGGCAGAGTATCTTGGAGGAGTCCCTGGCTGCTCTGGGCCTGACAGCAGCAAATATTTCCTATTCAAAATGAAAAAAGTGCATGGAGAAGATAGTGAAAACAGGGGAAAAAAACTAGAAAAAACCCCAGAAAAGTAACTGAAGAACCATAGGGTGAAATCCTGGACTTTCTAAGTCAGTGTCAAAACACTCCCACTGGTTTCCATGTCTTATATAACTTCTTCTTTCATTAGTAAAACATCCTGACAAGTACAGAAAAATTTATCATGCAGGATTTTGCTCACACTGTCCATCATTCCTTCTGCAGTGGCACCACCATGGTAAGAGATCAGCTAAGGTCCCCCATCCCACCAGCAGCACTGCTCTGATGTGCCAGTGACTACAGCCCTTTGACCTCCACTGGCTTTAAGATAAGGAATGGGGCCTTTTCCTCTCCTGGCTAGGCAGGATTTCTGGCATTTATTTCAGAATGAGGAGCATAAAAACTGCCACACAAACATAATGGTTTTATATGAATACTTCTTACCAAATTGATGAGATGGCGTGGAGGGAACGACGTCTCTCTGCTCTGCACATGAGGCTGTGCCTGTGCTCCCCTCTGACACAGCCTCCACAGGGACCAAGCCTCAGCCCCACCATCACCCAGCAGTCCCAGGGCAGGATGAGATCAGCTGACATCCTGCTCATGGGCTCCCCAGAGCTTCCTCCCAGCCCTGTAAATCAGCCATCCCAAGCAGAGCTTGGTCAGAAGGTGCCTCGTCCTTTCCAAGACTCACAGCCCTGCCCTCCTCTTCCAAAGCCATTTATTTGGAAAGGGCAAAGAGAGGTCCCAGCAAAGCCATGACTAATGCCTACCTAATCCCCACAGGAGGGGCAGAGCAGCTCCCAAGGAAACAGGCCCTTGTGCTTTCCTGACCCAGGCTGTGACAGTTTAAGAGAGAGCTCGCTTTTATCAGTAAAAATAAATGCTTTCCTCATCAGAGATTAGAGAGGGCAGCTCTCCCTCTGTGTTACATCTGCAGGGCCAGCAGGGCCAGGGCACTGTCAAGGCTCTCAAGACCTGTCACAGTGCACCAAGGGATTAACCCAGGGCAGTCCAGAGGAAAAAATTACTGTGACTTTTGTCCTAACATTCCGAGGTGTTAAATGCTGAAGTAATTGGCCAGTTTTCTTTGTCACAGCCAAGCAAAACTCACCTTCGCTTTCTCTGAGTAGTTGTTTCCTACTTTGGGTTTGATCATCAGAACCTGTTTAGTCCTTACTGGAACGTCCATCACATTCAGAGGTGTGAAATAGTCCCCAAATTCTATACACACTTTCAGTGGAAGCTGCTCTTCACTTGAGCTTAGAAAGAAGGTTCTGAGAGAAGCAAACAAACAATAAAAATGGCATTGCTTAAAAAATAAATAAATAGTGAACAGGAACTCTTTGCAGTATAAAACAATCAGGCTCAGTGAAGCTCAGGAAATATCTATTAAAATGAAGACTACTTGAAACTATTGATTCTTTTCCTCTTCAAATGTGTATGTTTTAATTAAGTATTTTTAGTGTTTTATACTTCCTACATCACCAGCTCATTTGTAAGTTCCAATATCTTTACGGACTTTTTAAGCTACATTTGTTCTTCTACTGACAATTAATACTTCATTCAATTAATATTTTTACATTTACCAAAGAGCTATAAAAATCTTTTATCTTTGCAAAAACAATATATTCTTTTCATCATCTCCAGTGTTGTGCTGCAGGCAATGTTTTGTAGGTGTACTTGAAAGTTGGGAAACAATTACACAGAGCTGGAGCTGTCAATGCTCTTCCTCTGCTCAGAGGAAATTCCAGCACTCAGTGGAGGGATTTTGCACAGAAATAGCTGCAGATGCTGCAGTTGCTGTTGTTTATTTTGCCCATATGAACCTAAATAAGCTCTTTTTATAGAAATATAAAATCCCCTTTTCCATCCCTTCACCCTGCCCAGTGTGCAGGAGCACTAAAGGACCTGCCTCCAGCACCTACTCCTATGGGGGGAACTTCCCCCACCTTGGAGGAGCTGATGTGAGAGGCAGCACCCACTGAAGGGCTCCTGTGAAAAAAGGATGTGGAACATCATTCTGATGTGAACATCATTCTTCCCATCCAGGCTTTCCCTCCTGCAAGGGTTGATTTCAAGGAGTTCTGCACGCTCGAGGGTGTGAGTGGAGTGTCTCTGTAGCAGAACTTTGCAAAGCAGAACTGCAAAAGGAATTCGTGTCAGCCAGGAACAGAATTACCTGAGAGCAAGGAGTGCACAATAAATGGCCCGTGGCTCTCTCTACAAAAAAAGGGAAGTTCATAGGGTAAAATATCACAAGGAAGGAAACTATTTTAACCATATTTTAAAGCATATTTTAAAGAAAATGGGTTTTAGTTTAGCAGAAGTAGTTTGACCGAGGAGTACTTTTCTGGCAGGGAGAGAACATAGTATCCAACTTTGCTTTCATGATGCTGTGCCAACACAGCCCATTATGCAAGAGAAGACTTTCAAATTCTTATTTCAGAAAATAGGTCAGACTGAGCTCAAATGCTTTCTTGTTGAAACGCAGCTTAATGTGGATTTGAGTAACTATCATGGCTCAGTGCCAGTCAGCAACTTCAGAGACGTTGCTGAGAAACGTCCTTCAACCTTCCTTTGCTTCAATCTTCCTTGTTCGGGGAAGGAAGGGTAAAGCAACAAGGCTGAGATGTCTCCATAGAGGAGAAAATCACAGGCTCTTGCTGTGGAATTGCTGCAGCCAGCAACTCAAGCTATCCATGCCAGGCAACCTGTCTGTTGGTTTTGCTGCTGGGCTACTCACCTTAAAGAAAGCAGAGAAGGGCTGGTCTGCAGGTGGGGCAAACAGAGAGGTGAAGCCCTTTCTGCTGCAGAGATGGAGGTGTCACATCAAAAGTTCATTTCAAGCACAGGATTGGCTGGAGGGGGACGTGGTGGTAAAATCTATTATCGATTCTAATTTCATGGCTAAATCTCTGTAAGAACAAGGACAACAATTTTGAAAAGCATCGCCGGGGAAGCGTTTCATTATTTTGTTGCATTTTTTTTTCTTAAGGCTTAAAATTTGACATATTCAATCGATTCTACTACTCCTTTTACATTGTGGATTAGTTAATTGCAGAAGCAAAAATGGGTGCCTGATTTATTATGTATAGAGCTTTGGAAAACTACAAAAAGCAGAAGCACAGACAAGTCATCCAGCTCCTCACTGATGGCCTTCAGCAACAGTGAAATGAGACTGACTGTAGTAAAAATGCAAATAAAAAAAGAGTAACATATGAATTCAGGCCTCTGTCTTCATTACAGAATCAATAGGAAATGCATTAATTCAGGCAGCCAAAAGTTGAAAGCAAGCCAAAGAAAAAAGGAGAACAAACACCAGTCTATCACATCTGTAGCTCTGGCTGCAAGGAAATGTTGCCAAATTACTAACCACATATATGACAATTTATACCTCCCATCACCCCAGGTGCCTCTCTCAACAATTCAGAGAACAAGTCTACACCAAAAAAAAAAAAAGGGGCTGTTTAATCTGGGGACAGGAGGAGTCTCTCTTGAAGTCTCTTCCATGATGAGAACGTAAAATTGCCAAACCCCATCGAGCTGGACTTGCAGAAAATTTAAACTGGATTTCCAGAGCAGTCCAGAAATCCTCGCCATTTCTTCCCAGATGTTTCTCCTGCTGCCACAATGCCTGTCCTGCTGCAAGGAGGGCTCATGCTCAGTGCCAGCACCTGCTCTGAGGGCTTTTCAGTCACGCTGAGGAGCAAAACTGATCAGCAGCTGCCTGGGAAATCCTCGAGGGTGAGATTCAGATACCCAATCTATTCCAGATAAAATGTAAGAACTTGATAAATTCAACAGTGATACCAGCTGCTTTTGAGGAATCCATTACACAGCCATCAGCTCATGACAACTCTTGGCTTTTAAAGACTGAACCAGTGACACAGAGGAGAGATCTACATGCAGCTACCAAAGAGCCCCTTGGAGCTGAGGCATCCCTGATAAAGTAGTGAGCCTGTGCAAACCAAATTTAGGGCTGAGAAAAAATGGAGCTCAAACATGTGCAAAGCTTTCACTCACTGCCTGGGTACGGCTACGAATCAAATTTCTGCACTGCTCTTTGCCAATTAATACCTCCAGATAAAGCACACCAGGGAGTGACTTCCAACAGCAAAGATTTTGTGTGCTCTGCTGCCCTGATAGACATCGTAGCACTTTACTACTGTTTTACATGTCCAAATATTTGCCTGGATAAATAGATCTAGAATAGTTTGAATAAGCTGCACTTTATCTTAGGAAGCTGGATGAGTCACATCGAAATGAAATATTCTGGGAAAAGGTCTACAGCACAATTACAGACGGGGAAATGGAAGGAGAAATTGCCACTAAACAATGTATCGAGTCCAGACTGTGTGAAATGTGAGTAGCCTGCAGATTCAAAGAAAATTTGCCAAAGAGGCGTTTCCCCAAATCCAATATTTATGAAAATATATTTATGAAAAATTGTTTCATAAAACATTCAATTGGATAAACACCTTTTTAAAACATAAAATAGATACCTTTTTTTTATATATATATATACTTTTTTTAAAGTGAAACTCACAGAGAATTAAGCTCACCACGAGCATAACTCCTCGAGATGGTTGCTCACATAGCTGGACTAACTGGACTATGTTAGGACTAGGCACTGTCCTAACACAACCTGTGAGCTCAAAAGGTACTAACCAGTGGGAAAGTCTTGCCAACCTAGAGTTAGAACTAGTTAGACTAGTTAGAACTAGTCCTGGGGTCTCCAAAACTCCAGGGAGTCATTGTGAAAGCTGTCTGCTGGGCTGGACTGCCATGGTGCTACAGCTCCTGAGCCCCTGCAGGAAGGTGGCCTTAGGTCTGGACCCAGAACATCACATTTAAGGAAAAGAAATGGAGAGGCTTGAGTAGAAACCTGCCTGACATTCTGGGAACACCCCTAGAAACATGGCACAGATACTTGAAAACACCATTTTTCACTCTAATTCTGCTTATACCACGAGGAGGCAAAACACCCCAATAGCACACACGCCGTAAGAAAAGGCTTCCAGTCTAATTTTGTGTCTCTCAGAATACAGTGAGAAACCTCACATGCTTCAGAGATCCAAGTGGAGGTTTAGCAGGTTATGTAGATTGATTGCAGGCAGAGAATGAAGGAAGCAAAGAGTGATATTCCCACCATTAAATATAGGCTGGAGTCTTAATAAGGCACAAAAAGAGGGAAATGGGAACCTTTGAAATTGAAGTTATTATGTGCTGCATCAATTGCCAGAAATTAAGCATCAATATAATTCTCTTGCTTTTATTCCCCTCCCCTTCAGCAACAACCACTCCCCTCAGTCTCTTTCTGCACGTGCAACTCCTCATGTCCCACATATTTGGAACCGTTCTCTCTTTAGACAGCAGACCATCACCCACCAAAATGCTCCAAACCCAACAACTTCACCGTGGATCCAGCATCCTCTCTCTGGATTTAGCTCCCCAGGACTTCCCCATGCCTGTCCCACAGGCTGGACCATAAACCAAGATCCTATTCCTATAACTGCTTTCCTACCAGCAGTAAATCTGCTGCTAGAAGGATCTGCTGAGGCATTTGTGCTTCCTCAGCCTTGTCTTTCACTCTGTACACAGGATATAGTAAATAAGTCAATTAAGACTTTAGCACTTCCTCTTCTCCCTCATTTCTTCTATTTAAAAGTAAGAAACAGTCCAAGGTTGGCCAACTGGAAACTTGCAGAGTGGCAACTTCCATTGCCTTCCTTCTTCCAGGAACACAAAGGAATAAGCCCAAACCCTCTTTCCTCCTGTTCTTCAGCCTCTGGCTCTGCGTGACACGTGTACTGTGCAGCCAACCTGCATTCTTTTACATGCACTCATCAAACAGGAGATCATTTCAGCCCTTGGCTGGTTCCTTCTGTGTGGGGACCCCAAGCCCACGCTGTTGGTGCTGCTCTGTCCCACCTGCAGTTTAAACCCCACCAAGGGCATGAGGATTTTATGAGCAATTTTATGACCCTTCAGCAACACTGGTCCTGTTTGGCAGCCCCTGTGTCATTCCCAGACAACCAGGCAGCCTCTCAGGAGTGCTGGTGACTGCACAAAAGGGCGTGTTCAGGTATTACAGAATATGAACTGGAACTGCAACTGGATGAAGGTTTGCCAGAGAAAAGGAGGTAGAAACCTGTCCTGTGGGGCTGTTAGCACCCAGAAGCACCTTAGAACTAGAAATAGATACTATAAAGATGTCTTACAGCCCACATTAAAGTACACTGTGCTCTCCTCAGCCACAGGTAATGACCCCAAA